CAATTGTCTTTTAGACTCTTTTTTAAAAGTTTGTGTGAATATTTTACTTTCATGATACAATCTTATTTTTACTTATGTATAAATAATGGCATTTAATAGTAAAAGCGAATGATCAACTTGTACTGATAATAAATAATCCCCAGGGTGTATTGCAAATTCTTTTAATATTTTAAAATACAAAAAAAAAAAACAAATATATAAATATATATTTTTTTGTTTTTTAATTTTTTTTATTTATAATTTACATTTTTTTTTTTACAAGAAAAATATATATATTTTATATTTTATATATATACATTTTATTTTATTTTTTATTTTATATATATATATTTTTTGTACAATTGTTATTTATATTTGATAATTAATTAAGAAAAATGATTGAATGAATTAATTAATTCTTTTATACAAAAGTCTCCAGCACTGCGAGCTTGGCAGAAGGTGAACGTTCAACGGGTCCCTAAAAAAAGTGATCGATTCAGCCCTAACAACTACCGTTCTTCCTATATTTTATTATTATTGACAAAATGTTTAAAGTTGAAAATGTTTGACAGTATAAAGCATATTATTTCATAAATTATAAATTCTCCCACTAATGTGGGAAAACAAAAATGATTTTTTAATGGTAACACTGATTCTAAATTACAATTATCAATGTTTTATTTCAATTATAGCCTTATTTACGATATTATCAATACAAAAAACCATAAACTTACACGTGATAAGTAATTCCGCATGATTTATTATGGTTTTGTGATCTTGAATCGTATTCTTTCACTACGCATTTACCCATTTTGGCGATTGTTACTGTCATGTGTCGCTATGTTCAACTCGGTTGACGCCACATTGAACACTGAATTGACGTTTGCTACGCATATGCCTGTGGACAGATGTGCAGTAGCAACGATTTTAGGCGGTAATTACTCATCTATGTAAGTATTATATCAATGATCGCACCTAAAAACCACACAAAAAAGTTGGACTAATGAGCTGCAATTTATTTTCTATATTTTAGTTTGGTTTTCTATAGAAAGCGTGTGTTTTAGTTTTTTAAAACTATATATATTTTTTTTTTTTTTTTAAATTAGTGTATTATCATCGGTCCTCGATATATCTACAAAGTTTGAACGAATTCTGACCGTTTAAAGTCAGTCAAAATCACGCGCAAAGGAGTCGGTTACAAACATACAAATAAACATACAAGTGAAGGTAATACGAGTATAAAGCGTGTAATAAACTTACATCAACACGACAACGAAATATTGCTGAACAATTAAAGCATGAAAAGGCGCTGAAAGTCAGAACTTTGCTGGCTGATAAACACATGAATATAGGTAATCCAAAAGACCACCAATGTTTATCTGTGATTGTTTTTAAGTTTAATTAATATTTTAAAAATTTATTAAAAATATTATTTTGCCTGTAAATAAAAATTATTTAAGAAACATGTAGTTTTTTGTAACACTTATGTACATATCCGTACTAAACTTGCAAATAATATCCTACATATTTTAAAAGTACAAGCAATCACCAAGTACACAATGTACTAGGTGATTGCTTTTTTGTAAACACCTAAGCATGGTCGGGTTAAGACGGTCTTGCACCTTCTAATGACTTTTATTTAATTATCTCGTTTATTATTATATGTACGACGCTAAAATTTTACAGGTAGACAACTGAACTAAACAACTAATTATTGGTATAACATTCAGTTTAAATATCCATTCCCAGTTTTATCGGTGGCCACAAAAGGTCGCACACATTGTGATCGTGAACGTGGAGAACTACATTTCATCATAACTTTTTAGTCACTAACTGTATACTAACGAAAATTCGTATACATTTGAAAGCAGTTACAAGCACTAGAATAACGTTTATAGTAAATCTTTAGAGGTCTTATTCAAAGTGTTAGGACGTATTGAAGTGTTTTCATACCTTATTAAATAATTTTTAAACGGTCCATTATTTTTGTTTTTTTATTGTTAAATAAATTAAAACTAATCCTTAAGAAGTTATGTACAAAAAATTGGTTACAATCCGCTTACCCGTTTCAGAGATCCAGCAAACCCACAAACGTTACGCCAGCAGGATCTCGAATAACTTTGCAGCCGAAGAAAATACAAATACCAAATAAGTTGTAACATTTACCTCGTCTGGACGAGGTAAATGTTAATTAGTTATCTGAATAACTAATTATTTAGCTAATATTTATTTCAATATTCCAATTTAAAAAGAAAATGTCTGGCTGCGGTAACGTTTCAAACGTTACAACAGCAGGAAATGTTTATTTGAAATACCTAAAAAAAATTAAGTGAAACAAATTTAAAAATGTGCCTACCAATTACGGAAGGGGGGCAACTAATTATCTATAAAGTTTAAATGACCATTTTCGACATTATTTTGCTAGGGTAACGCACACGTTCATCTGTTGACAGTTACTCGCCATGTTGGACGCGCAGTTGTTATGTAACAGTCGTTTGAGTGAGTTGATATGAGTGTTTTTATGAAAATGGACAAAATCGAGTATTGAGTTGTCATTAAATATTTGTTTTTAAAAGGCAATACGCCTCCGCAAATTAAAGATGAGTTGGATTCTGTGTATGGGACCTGCACCATAATTTACCACAGTGAAATTTGGGGTAGCTGAATTTAAACGTGGCCGTAAGAGCTTGGGAGACTATGAACGTTCGGGACGTCCAAAACCTGCAACTACCTACGAAAACATCGCCAAAGTTCACCAAATGGGGCTAGACGACCGCCGAATTAAAGTGAGAGGGATAACAGAGGTTATGAACATGTCAAAAGAACGTGTTTTTCACATATTAAATCAACATTTAGACATGAGAAAGCTGATGAGATGAGATGAGATTGAGAGATTTTTTTTTTGGTATGGGTTGTGGGCTTCGTTTTCCGCATTTAGGCTCAAGAGTGGTCCTTTATGCGTCGAGGACTGGTTAGCTAGGTAAGCCTACCAAGCTCCTTCCAGAGCCTCATGGGGCCTTCACAGGCTTTTAGGAGCGATTTTGTATCGAGAATGATACTTGCCCGTTGTATGGCCACTCCCTCGCATTCCAGGATTACGTGGGCGGCCGTTTCTTCTGCTTCCAGACATCCCTGCACAGAGGGCTGTCCGTCGCATTGATGATGAATAGTTGTCGGTTCAGGTCTAGGTGTCCTGTCATAGTTCCGACAACTACTCGGATTTCCAGCCTACTAAGACTGATCAATCTGCAGGTGAGTCGTGGTGTGACTTAAGTCAGCACTAGTTTGGACTGTCTGCAGCCGGGTGAGTTTTCCACCTCCGGTTATGTGCTTCACGAGTCCGTTGCCTGGCTCAGAATCGTATTTGGTTAAACGGTATTGGCAGGAGTAAGGTTGGGCATTGTTCCCGTGTGAGTTACTGTGCCCTTTAATCCATTGGAAGAGTGTGGTATTTAATGTGGCAAGCTGCTTCAATGCTTGATGGCATTCGAAGACAATACCAGATTTCATTGTGTTGCCCTCTAGTGCATTTAGGACGGCTATGCTGTCGGATAGTATTTGGATGTTATATTCCTTGATACCCCTTGACTGGCAGTTGTGGCGGCGTAAGTTTTTGCCACACATTCGCATTGGAATATGGAACTATATTGGCCTAACGATAGTGAAATCTTCATATTTAGGTCTTGCGAGAAAACTCCGGCTCCAGTTCCTGACCTAGTCTTGTGTGTGAACCGTCCGTGCAAATTCGGACTTCGTTAATGCCGGATTGATCTCGGTCATTTTCTTGTATCTGGATGTGGTATCTTTTTGTGAAGATGTGGTATTTTGGGATTCTATTGCATTTGGCTTGTTTTTTGGGATAGTCATGGAGTTATTTTACTCGATTATCTCCAAAAAGAAAGAACCATTACAGGAGCATACTACGCAACATTACTTGACAGGCTGAAGGCAGAACTTGAGGAAAAACGGCCACATTTGTAGAAAGAAAATCCTGTTTTACCAAGACAACGCACCGTCTCACACCTCAGCGGTTGCCAAAAGTCCACGAATTACGGTTTGAACTGCTTGACCATCCGCCTTACTCACCAGATCCAGCCCCAAGCGAAAAATTGCGCTCGGAGGACAGAGATTTTCGTCAAATGAAGAGGCAATTACCTTCGTGAACAATTAATTTGCAGAGAAAAATGCCGAATACTATTTGGACGGGTTACAGAGATGGGAGCATCGCTGGGAGAAATGTGTCGTTACAAGGAGACTATGTTGAAAAATAAAATCTGAAAAAAGGTCTTGTATCTTTGTTAGGTCGGAAACTTTTTTAGACCACCCCCGTAGGGTTCCATTGGCAACCTTTGTAAGGAAATCTAAAAACTATTCATTATTAAGAAAAATATTTACATACTCGTAGACTCCACAAACTTCCTATAACCCTCGCGAGTGAAATACGTACCACCAAGTAGCCTCAAGTAGGTACGTACCGCGAGGGTTTTTGAGTCATTATTACGACATGTTTCTACGTTAACATCAATGTATAAACTTACGTGTTATACCAACAATATTTTGTATAAAATTCATTTATTCATTTTGCTAGGAACCTTAATGAGCTGAAGCTCCAAATCGGGTCATCAATTTTTTTTACTTAAACATTTATTTTGCCAATTTAACATTTTTTAAAGAGGCATATTTAAATCAAACAATAATTTAGGTTAGTGAAACTTTAATTAATAATATAACACGAATATAACATATCAAATAATCTAATGAGAACGTATGGAGATTATATTTTTATTCAATATACATATATTCATAGAGCTAGCAAAGTGTATCTACTCGTAGTAGGTAAAGCTAATTCTTATATACCGATTATTGTTTCCGTGATTGTGAATATTATTTAAGTACAAAGGCAATATTTATGCATTATATTAGACATTAATAACTATGTTTCGCCTAGAATCATATGATTTGAATGAAAATTAAATAACAATACCTAAGAGGATTTCTAGTACTTATATGTGGAATATAATCTATTTGCCACAAAGAAGGCCAATGGCCATTCCAGCAACAAAAGATGCCAAGAAGACATGTGATTCCGTAGCACGATAATGATCATCCCCTTTAATATTTTTAACCCAGTGTTTAGCTTTTACTTCCTTTTTCTTGATTAACTCTTCGGCTTTATCTAATTTACGATCCACAAATCGTTCCACCTGTAACAATAAAAATATTTAGTAGGTAGGTAAAGGCTAAGGTAGGGCTCACCCAGAAAGTAATGTAAGACAACGGGTAACCATCATTTGGATCATCTTTTTACACGCTTTATATTAGCTTCACTTGTATGTTTGTAACCGACTCCTTTGGGCGTGATTTTGACTGACTTTAAACGGTCAGAATTCGTTCAAACTTTGTAGATATATCGAGGACCGATGACAATACACTAATTTAAAAAAAAAAACAAAAAAATTGGGGTGCTTTTTACTATTGACAACAGGCACCCAACGCTTTTTTTCAAATTTATTTTCTATTTTTTAGTTTGGTTTTATTTAGAAAGCGTGTTTTTTAGTTTTTTAAACTATAATTTTTTTGATGGTGAATAGGGTCCGCAAAGCAGAGTACTGTAGTGTACATTACTTTTAACGAAATAATATGATTCACGAAAGATAATCTTATCAACTTGAAAATGACATTGCTGCATTAATCCTTTGACCGCCACGACAAAAACGAAGAACTGTGCTCTTTAGGCCAAACAAAAAATTCCTTGTTTCATACCTACAAAATAATAGTGATGTGCACAAGTATACCGATAAATCATCGATACATTTTATTTGAGCATGATTTACGAATAAAAATGCTCATACCACCAGTTTTATTAAGTTTCACCCAGATTTCATTCCAATTCTTAGCTAAGTTATCATTACACCGTTCCGAAGTAACAGCTTTAGATAATAGCACATTTTATAATAAAAAAGTAATACATTTTTTTTTATTACAGTAATTTCATTTGACATAATAAAATGACATAAAATCCGTCATTGTCGTGTTTTACCGCTAATTACCTAATTTTACCGCTTTTGAATTAGAGGTGTGTGGTAGTTTTTACAATATTATAATACTACGTACGTGATTGTTAAATTTAATATTGAATACTATAAAGAGGTATTAAGACCGCCACAAGTCGCCGAAAAACTTGCAATGCGAGCGAGCGAGTCATCACCAAAAATAGGTCTATTCGCTAGTGAGTGTTTGAAAAACCAGGTACGTTTTCGACTGATTAAGGGCTTTGTTGTTATAGTACTTTTAATCAAATATTAAACATTAATTACTCGTTATTAATTATACATGCCTCTATAAATTTTGATTTTGTGATCATAAACAAGTAGCTCATTACCATATTTTCCCAGTGTATCACAGTCTATCGACTAGTACAAGCTAGCGGGACAATTTTATTTCTTCACTTATTTCAATTGTTTATGTATATTCCAGGTATCTTAAGCTATTTTAAGAAAAAAAAAGTTGAAAAATATGTACTGTATGTGTATTAATCGAAATATGTAGCTGCAAGACGGAACTGGTTTACTGATGTGTCTCATTTGTTCACTATTGTCGCTAATTGTTCTTTAATTAGCTGCGTCTACCTACTCATTATGTGTGTTAAGCACACTCATGTTTGTTGACAAAGAAATTTCTAGGAAAAAAATAAAAATTATAATGATTACTCACATTTATTAATTTACAAAATATTATTTCTTTTAAAATAAATTAGTACAATAACAGTATCTATACACGGTGATTTTGAAAGCGTTTTGGAAAAGAAAATTTTGAGTTATTTATCAGTAACAGAAGCTATATATAACGTTAATTTAATAAAATATATATTTTTTTATCATCAAAGTCGATATTCATATCGTTTACAGAGAAAAAGTCAGAACCAGTAGTAGTAGGCTATTCAATCACACGTAGGTAAATACTACGAATAGAAATACTATGCGTTTTAATATCGAGTCACATCAAATCGTATTCGCCAATAAAAACAAAGCTACCGAGTTGCGCCGGAGTCGTCCAACCAATGACGTCTGCCCCGTAGGCGCATGCGCGGGGCTCACCTGTCATCTTCAGTCGGTCAGTAATACCATAACATCGTGACGGCACGCTGCATTGATTAGCGCTAAAATGAGTCGACAGTACGAATTTTCAAACGTGGAATACTTCTTGGCAATGGTACAGCTGTACGCTACTGCCAACTACAACTTGGAAGAGGCTCGGCGTTTGTATTCCCAAGCCGGAGCATTTAAATGCACTACGGCTACGTCGAATTGAAAGCCCTCAAATTCCCTCCACACCTACCATCTTGGCTGCAACCCAACGTCTTCTCGACCACGGACAATTTCGTGCGCCTACTCATGCGCAAGGTCAAGGACGTTTTAATTATTATTCGCCGGAGTGTAGTGCGTGCATACCTGGACAATGAGCTTAGTGATCGGACTTAACGCCCCTGGATTTTTTCTTATGGTCGGAAATAAAAAGACTTGTTAATACACGGGAATATGAAAGCCGTGATAATTTACGCATTGCGATAGTGGACGGTTTAAAGTGAAAAGTGATAGAGACACATTTAGAAAATTAAAAAACAATTGCATTAAACGTGGACGTTTGTGTATTGAATGCAGCGGACTCCATTTTGAGCAGTTCCTTTGATACAGAGAACTGTAAATAGTGTAAATAGGTATGTAAGTTAATTATTCTGTAGATAGCTCCGATTTTTTAAATACGCCTGAAATATTTATACCTACAGTCCGTTGATAAATTGATTTGTTGTGAAAAGAAAAATCGTGGTTAATAATCGAAAAGAAGTTTAAATAAAATAGGTATTTCTGACGGTCCTAAGCCCGTGTAAAGTATGAAGGACAAATTGGAGTCTATCTACGTAAGTACTCGCTAGCTCGCGCCTATAGGTATAGTTTTGTCAGCTGCTGTTAGCGTCGGCGGTGCGCAGCGGCCGCCGAAACGCCCACGGACGTGTTTCATTCATATAAGATAATGAATGAACGATCAGTCCATTACTACTTTCCAAGTCGATCGAGTAAAAATGAATATTAAAACTGAAACTTTTTTTTAGACAACATTACAATTGATTTAATCATTTTTATTGGTACTATAGATGATTCCAAATTCAAATATTTCGTTTCCAAAACGCTTTCAAAATCACCGTGTATATCAATTATTTACAATAGCAAGGTGTATAAGTAAAAGAAATATAATATTAAATAACTTATATACTAAGGCATGAATTATAAGCAACTACAACACACAATAAAATAATAATAACAATAAAAAATACTTAAACCTACTAATTATAATCAGATGAGTCGTCATCATCGCTCTCCCATTCAGTAGAATATTCAGAGAGTAAATAACCCTCCTCATTTATTTCGTAATGATGACTTACTGATGGTGTTTCGAATGGCAATGAAGGTGGGATAATCAACTGCAGAATCTCCGATGGCAAAGAAGTAAATTTTCTTCGTGGTAATTCTCTATACGAGTTGATAACAGGATCAAACGTAATTAAAAGCATTCTCAAAAGATCTGTATTTGTGGCAATACGTGACCGCTTCCTGGTGTGCCGTTCACGGAATCTACGACAGTCTTTATTTCTTGCCTCCTGGGCTTCTTCGAAGAGTTGTCCAATGGGAAGAAGAAAAGACTTTATAACTGCCGCGCTGTGTACAAGAATTGTATGCACAGTAACGGGTATGGAATACCACGAATACAGATCAAGGTATAATTTTCTAGTCTCAACACAAAACTTTTCGAATTCTATATAATTTATGTCATATCCCGATGACAAAGTTCTTAAAATTACATGAAATTTACGAATAATTTTTACGTCTAATCCTGTAATTTCGCTGCTCAATTCAGCCTTGGAAAAGAATCTACGTGCTGTGTTTCCATCGTTTGTGTTACCATACCCAGGTTTTGGTTTATCTACAATGAGACCCATACGATCTTTAAACAATTTTTGTATCTCTTGCTTCACAATAGCTTTGTCGTTATCTCCCCTGACTTGCCACTTTTTTATTTCTAAACGATAGCTGATATGAAGCAAACATTCAAACGTGCGGATCCATGCATGTAAAGTAGATAAACCAAATGCAAGGTGTTCTTCGTTGCTGGGATATTTCTTTGACTCCTCGTTGATAGTATACGGGGTGGCACCGCAAATATAACACTTTTGGGTTGAACTTGTGTCTGTTAGGGCATTGCACACTTTGCCATCAGTCATTGTCAACAACAAGTCGTGTTTAACAGAGATTTGAGATCCAGCAACGTTACATAATGTTGGAAGAAGCTGACTTACTTCATCTAAAATTTTAGAAGTTTCTTCTTTAGTAAACTCTTTTGTCTCCTTGGCAAAAATAAACTTAATAGGACGGCAATATAAAGTAGAGGAAAGTCTTGGATTTTGCCAGATCACAGTTTCGCCATCAAGCAGTCTCAAAGGGACAAATGAGTATACGAACAAAAATTCGTCTGTAACGTTAGTGTTCTTAAATTTCTGTTTATACGTGCTATGCCCCGAACTCCCATCACAGCCCCATTTGCTTATCAACGTATAATAAGAACGAGGTAACACACTTCTAATGACTTCCGTCCGAACTTTAACTAATTGTTCAGCCATTTTATCCAAAATCGCCTGGAGTTTAATTTCAGCTCGAGATTCAGTCACAGAAAGATATTCGTCAGAAGGACAACAAGAAGCTTTGGACTTACCTAAACTATAAAACGATGGATACACTTGATGTCCCGCTTTCATTGACCACTTTCTTGTTTGTTTATATGAGTGAGAAGTCGATTTCGAGTCCACATAATAAACTAAAGCTTCGTCTGGAGTTAACTGCCGACTTTGTTCAGAACACTTATTCTTTTCTCTAGTTTCACTGACCGAGACTTAATGGATCTGTTTAGCAACACTTCGATGCCCTTCTTTTCGAGTAGTTAACTCAGCTGCTGTAATAAGTTCACTTGCACTTCGCGATTCCAATAGATCTTCTACTCTCCGTCTCTTCGTTTTCGTTGATGAGTCTTCAAAAGATTTTCTGAGTCACCCTACGGAAAGAGCCGCTGATGATGTTGAAGTGCACGGCTGGTTAACACACATCTTTATTTGGATTCCGGATCCCTCTAACCAATCTTTATGTTTGATTAGAAA